TTTGTGTGCGACAGAAGTGCTGCCCCAAAGAGGAGGTTGGCCTTTCAGATGCAGAGGACAGAAAAGATGTTGGCTGCTTGCCTCATCTCAGGGTCATGTAGCCAAGGGATATCTATCCTTCAGAAATGGTCTTTACCTGATGTTTTCCACTTACTCTAACCGATGACCAGCAATTTTTAAGAGGGTTTGGTAAGCTGTTGTTCACAGGACCTACAGCCAGGGAAGCTTTCTTGATCCTGTAGAAAGACATGGAGGGTTTGTGCACTCTGCACAGCAGTTTCAGAGGGCATTGGTGACAGTCTAGTTTTGTAAAGCAAAGATCCCTGCTAATTTACTAATTGGAATTAAATAATCCTTTCTGAGATCCATGGTGTCCTGGCTAAGCTACTGGGGTTCAAACTAGTTTGTTCATTGGCCATGTAAACATGTTATTTTCCCTGTTATTTAGGGAAAATATAGAAGTTTGATTGCTACCTATTATGAGTATCGCTTGAAAAAACAGGGCAATGTGCAGTCTGTGCACCTTTGTGCTACGCACAGAGGGAAACAGAGCTGAAAGAATATTACTGAAATTGCAAAGACACATCTTGACAAAATTAATCTTTGTTCCCCCTTCTGTACGTGTTATGACAGTATCATGAGTTGAAATCATATTCTGCTAGAGCAAGCTGCCTGCAGGTGGGATCTTCAGAGAATTGCACTGGCAATCTCCATTATGTCGCTTAACCCTGTGCAAGTTGTAGTTTCTTCCTCAGTTACACAAGTTCCACAACTTGCATTTATTTGGGGCCTATTTTTCCACCTTTATTATAAATGTGACTTGCAGACCGAAAGTTCCTTCTGCAAAGCTCAGAGATGCCACAGTTGCAAAAAACAAATAAGTATGGATGGAACATATGGTTTTCCTCATCTTTTTCAAAATAAAAGCAATTTTCACTGAAACAGCTTGAGACAAACATCCTGAGTGGAAAATTTCAGCCTGAATACTTAAGAAGATGGATGGAAGTTTAAGTTGCTTGAATTCTATTTCAAAATAGTACAGTTAATGCTAAATATGTTAATTATGTTTGTTAATCATAAATAGCACCATCCTCTCTGCCTGCAATGCCACTTGACTTAGAGCATCCATTTCAGAATGCATTTTGAAATGAGGCATTTGTACTTTTTCCTACTATTTGCCTTCATATTGTCTTTTGCCTTGTCTTTATCTTCCTGATTCTTTTCATTCTAGTTTTCCCACTTCGTTCTGTTTTTTCACTTCATTCTGGTTTTCCAGTTATGACTTAAGCAACATGAGGAACAATAGGCTTGGTTTGTAAAGGGTATTTGTGTTTGCAGGAGAATTTGGTTTCACTCCCTTTGGGTTTTGCATACAAGTAGTAATAAAATCAAGCCTAACCGCATCACATTGCTTGGCAGTCTTTCAGACCACAGTGCCAGTGGTCTGTGCTTTGATTTATGGTGTGTGTGCTTGTTTTTGTTTAGTATATACCTGAAATCAATTAATTGCCAAATCAAAATCAAATTGCCCTGAAATGTGGCCTGGCTTACTGAGAAAGGCTATAAAACCACTGCAGATTCTTTGGACTGGTCTAACTTGTAAGCTTTTGATTGAGCTGAAAGCCAGATGATTTTACTTTTATAAGTCTTACTTTAAGATTTTGTAATAAAACTAATCAACTCAGTTCACCTCCAGTTTTTGAATTTGTTTTTGTTAGGAGTGGCTTAAGTACATTTACTATTCATCATACAATGACATGATTTTTGGAGTACTGTCTGTCAGATGTGGTCTGTTGTATTGATAGTAGCATAGTACAATCTATTATTGAAATAAACATAGTAGTAATTTGAATGCTACCAAGTTGAAAGTCTGCATTTAGTTCCTTCTACAAAAGTTCACAGGGAAAGGACAAAATACACCTTCACAATCCCTTGCTTTAAGACCACAGATAGCACCTGGCCACCAAGACAAGCTTGGTGGTGGTCCCATGTTTACTTACACTCTGACAGACTGTGGCTAATTATGAGAGTGGTAAGTCCATAGGGTGGTTTCTAGTCCATAGCACGTTAACATTGCCTTTTTGCAGGTGCCCGCCTGTCGTCCACGAACAAATGTACTCAGAGAGTAATTAGCACCAGTGCGCTATGAGACTGGAAGGATGAAATGGGCTGGAATCTGTGGGGCATGTCCTCACTCAGCCACTACTGAGTACTGTCACGAATGTTTTGTGTGAAGTATTAGAAGGAATGATCCTTAAATCTGTAGATGGCAGGGTGGATGGGACGATGGGCAGTTTTTGAGACAGACAAGGTAGAGTGATCTTGGCAAACTGTTGGAAGGGAGAAGACCACAATTCAGCAGGGACAAATGGGGAATGCTATGTTGGGGTTAAAATAACTGACAATCCAAATACTTGTTGGGAGGAGACTTAAGAGTAAATGAGAAGTGGGCCTTCTAATGCAGTGGATCAAAACATAAGATGACATTAAAATGTAGAATCATAGAGTCATAGAATTATTTAGGTTGGAAAAGACCTCTAAGATCATCAAGTCCAACCATTAACCTAGCACTGCCAAGTCCACCACTAAACCATGTCCTTAAGCACCACATCTATATGCCTTTTAAATACCTCCAAGGATGGTGAGTCAACCACTCCCATGGGCAGCCTGTGCCAATGGTTGACAACATTTTTGGTGAAGAAATTTTTCCTAATACCCAATCTGAACCTCCCTTGGTGCAGTTTTAGGCTGTTTCCTCTTGTCCTATCGCTGGTTACTTGGGAGAAGAGACCAACACCCTCGTCGCCACAACCCCCTTTTCAGGTAGTTGTAGAGAGCGATAAGGTCTCCCCTCAGCCTCCTCTTCTCCAGGCTAAACAACCCCTGTTCCCTCAGCCACTCCTCATAAGACTTGTGCTCCAGTCCCCTCACCAGCTTCGTTGCCCTTCTCTGGACACACTCCAGCACCTCAACGTCCTTCTTGAGTGAGGGGCCCAAAACTGAACACAGGATTCAAGGTGCGGCCTCACCAGTGCCGAGTACAGGGGCACAATCACTTCCCTACTCCTGCTGGCCACACTATTCCTGATACAGGCCAGGATGCTGTTGGCCTTCTTGGCCACCTGGGCACACTGCTGGCTCATATTCAGCTGGATGTCAACCAGCACCCCCAGGTCCTTTTCTGCCAGGAATATGTTAGATCGTATTTGTTACCTCAGACTTGCAAGGAAAACAAAAATGTATCACCAACAGAAAAGCTGTTGCCATGGTGGGAGATACAGATAGAAAGATTTTGATCTCTTAGGAGCAAGCAGTTCACGCAGCATAAAGAAAAGTGAGTGTTCTTTTAGTCACTTGTTTCTCTTTCTTCAACTGATTACCTGTTTAAACTTTATAACTATTGTCTCTGAGTTGACATTCAATCCTTGAATGCATGATGCCATAGGAAATTCTAATGATTGCTGTCACACTTTGGTTTTGTTTTCCATGCATAAAATTACAGTTTTGAGGACTGCTTATTTTTCCAGGTTCCAGCTTCCTAGTGCAGTTGTACTGGTAGTGAAGATGCAGTAGCTGATTGTCGGAGGCATGTTGAGGGTGCGTTTAGGGAAGCAAGTCACCCTGTCCATCATCAGTCTTTTGAAACTTGTTTAATAAGAGATATACCCAAATTCTTTGCTTTTTATTCATTATTTACTAGCCTGGCAATGAGTAGGAACTTGTTTCTAACGAATCTCATGTTCTGACCTGTTTCTAAAACCTGTTCAGCTTGCCTTCGTAGAGAGAGGCTTATGAAGCCTCCTCAGGAACAGCTATATTTTTGCAGTGCACATCAGGTATCTGAGATGCTTTTTTTTAAGACTAGTGTTCCTGATGGACTCTCTTCCATCTCACTACCTTTTCCTTCATACCCATCACATATATGTACATGCTGTGTGCCGTGTTCCCTGTCTATGCATACACTATTGAATTTCTTGTGGGCTTACTGGGTGAATAACCCTTTTCCATCTGCCTTACATGGGAAGAGAATGACACAGCCACTGTTTTGTTTTCCAGAAGTTCAGTAGATTTCACCTTTTAGACAAGGAAATGGCAGAGGGAAGGTGGGAAGGAACAGGTGGAAATAGAAAATTTGTGGTCCTGTGGCCAGATAATCACAGTGGAAGCTTTGACTGCTCATAGATTTCTCATATAAAAAGTTGATACTGTGTGTGAGAGCTTTCTTCAACATTTGTATCTTTGATTTTGGCTGATTCTTCACCTCCCATAGATCTGTCAGTCCCTACAATTTTACCAATAGATCTGTGGATTTTTTTGAGCAAAATAATCCCTAATAAAATACTTTTTTGTTCTTAGTTACCTCTTACAAACTGTAGAGGATTTGTCTATCATTACATACTGAAGGCCCTGATAACAAGAGTGGGAGTGCTGCCATTTGCAGCACATTTTCATGGTGGGATTTGGTGAGTTTTCACCTACCTGAATGGTCACGCAAGTGTGGAACCAAATGGCATTTATATGCTGAATGGAAAAGCAACATGGACCGAACTGGTGGCTGATACGCATCCACTTTACTCCCATGGCACTGAGACAGTTGGCAGCATCTGAATTTTGGTCTCATGGGTCTTGCACTAGATTTTTGATGTTTGTATTGCCTATTCAAACTGCAGTCTGAGCAGAGTTGCTAAAGCACTGGTCAGGATCATTGCTGTCTGACACATGGGTGACTCAGTCAGTGTGAAAAGTGTCTCATTTCAGATCGTGTCATGATTTCTGTGATTGTACAGGCTGTGACCGTGTGAAGTGTGACTCAGTGGCTGGCCTCATCTAACCATAGGCTCTACTTGCAGGTGCTTGATCTTCGTTATAGTGAGTGGTCTTGCAAGGACTTTATCTAGCTGGGTAATTCAAATAAAAGGAGCGACATCACAGAGGAAGTAGTGTACAGATCAACCACTGCTAACCCTTTGCTGAGGTGTGCAATTTCATTTTCTCTTCCAGCAAATATTACGGCATGCCCGTGGAAATGCCACAAAGGTGATATTTCTCATTACTGATGGATATTCCAACGGGGGAGACCCAAGACCCATTGCAGCATCCTTGCGTGAATTTGGAGTCGAGATCTTCACCTTCGGGATATGGCAGGGGAATATCCGAGAACTGAATGACATGGCATCCCATCCAAAAGAAGATCACTGTTACCTTCTTCACAGTTTTACTGAGTTTGAAGCTCTGGCACGCAGGGCTCTTCATGAAGGTATTAATGTACTAACCTCAGAAACCTACAGAGAGCAGAGAGGTCTGAATAGATAGAACGGTCTCCAGTTCTGTCTTGTAATTACATTTCATGTAGTGTTCATTCGTTTGGGGTTTTTTTCCACTCTTGCTTTCTAGCAGAGGTGTTCATTCCTTAGGTAAAAGGATAAACTGACTAACCAACCCATCATCAACAAAATGTGAGCCAGATTCTCCTCGTTGGTATACACATACTTACCTCCATTCAACTCTTCATTTCGTCCACAAAGAACAGACTATGGTCTTGGCCCACTGTAACTTTTGCTTGAATAGATGAATCTTGTAGTTCAGATAGATGGTTGTCCAAAAGACTTAGGACTAGCTTTAATACCTGTTGGTATTTTACACAGCAACAAAAGGTAGCCTGTTCAGAACTGATTTAGATCTCTCTGTATAAGGGTAAATACAATTTATGATCTTATACATTCGTTAAAACTGGAAAGAGCAAGTGGTGGAAAGAGAGTTTGAACTGTGGTTTTATCCTTTTTTCATCTACCGTATTCTAAAAAAAAAGTTCTTCCTGAAAAATAGAGTAAGTTTAGACTAGCAAGTGAGTACACAATACTTAAAACTTTTGTTTGTAAGCCAGTGTTGGTTGACTGAGGCTTAGAACATGCATCAGACTAGCCATTAGGATTTTTTTTCTACATTTAATTTTTAAAAGCATGCTACTTATGCAAAAGTAATATTTTTTTACTGCTTTAATGTTTGTTCCAGGTGAGGTTTAATTGGTCTATGTGAACATGCCAAAGGAAAGATAGGGTTTTATTAATATTACCAACTGGTTATGCATGCCGTGACCAAATTCTCTCCTGATGCCAAAGATGGCATCGACCAAAGCTGGTAAAAGCCATCTCAGCAGCTTCTGTTGGGAGTGAGACTGCATTCTGGCAGTGTTAGACTGTAATGAAGCCAAGTGAGAAAATTTGAAGATCTTTGCACCATGGATTTCACTGAGCCTTCTTCCAGAATAAGAACATCAATTTTTCATTTTTAACATTTTGAGTGTAGCAAAGCTCTGCTTCATGCCGCCATCACTGCTGCTTAGAACTGGAACCTGGGGTTTTTAAGAAACATTTCACTAATGACATGATGTGAGGCTGTGGGGGGACTTCTGTTTGGACTTTTTGTTAATAAATTGATACTATTTCAGACCTGCCCTCTGGCAGCTATATCCAAGAAGATATATCGCATTGTTCCTATCTCTGTGAGGCAAATGAAAACTGCTGCGACATCATGGCCAGCTGTAAATGTGGCACTCACACTGGCCAGTTTGAGTGCATCTGTGAAAAAGGATACTATGGGAAAGGACTACAACATGAATGCACAGGTGAGTCTCATGTCTCAGTGCTTGGGTTTCTGAGTATGCCCTGAATACATGGCTAAGCTAGCCAAGAGCGAAAAGCTCTATTGATGATTATGGCTACGAACCTGGATCAGAATGGATTTAAGGCTATTGGAAAACTCTGTCTTGGCTGAAGACATAAAATAGCTCTAGCAGTCAAACTCACCTTGTACCTTGTCTCCAGCAATAGCCCAAAGAGATGCACAGGAAAGAACAAAGAACAGGGCAAATGTTCTGAAACAGTTAAACACAGATCACCAACAATTTGTGACTAGAGTTTACTGAGCCTAAGGCAATGTCTTTTGCACTCAAGTGCTCTTAGTCAATTTTTCCTTCAGGAATTTTGCTGATCACTTCCTGAACTTTCATAAACTTTCCTGTTTGGAGAGGGGCTGTATATGTGGGTCCTTGCAGGATAAATTCTTGGCGAAACTTACAGTTGGTTAAAAGTTTTTTAATTCTCTCATGTTGATTATCAGTTACTAAAGAGGAAGAAGGCATTTGGGTCACTAAACAGAAACTTGTCATCACATTTTGCTAAGATTATTTTTGTTGTTAGTGATGTTTGGACAAGTCCTTTTACTAGTACGCATTCAAAATCTACAGTTGAAATAACAACAGTTTGCAGTTCTTTATTGTCAGACAAGGTATGCATGTTTATCCAACTCCATTGATTTTTCTAGGACAAAAGTTTCAAAAATGTCAGAGTGTATCTGAACCGTGTTGTATTTGTTTTGTGAGCTGGACAAAAGGAGTACTTACAATCAAGTATTTCTCAACTAGAAACAAAAGACAGTATACTGGTCTTGTTTGTATTCCCATATTCTCGCTTTTATTCTGCATATCACAGTTCTCATGAGATGTTTCCTCATGAGATGTGAACTAAATGTGTGGATATATGGATCATGGCTGTATAGCTGGTTTTGAGGGCCCATGCTGCTTTTTTAAATGTGATTTTCATTACATGCAAAGAGTTTCTTGATGTAATTTACAAGAGTTGGTAGTTCTGTTCAGAGAACAGGCCCGGGCAGATCTGTGACTAGAAGCTAACGAATTCCTTCAGGGGAAGGTTTAACAGAGACTGTGATAGCTGTATGCCTGCACGAGGAGGGTTATAAGGATATGCTGAGGGATCCAAATAAGCACATGATGGGGGAAAGGTATTGTCTGTCACCAGTGCAAGAGAGGACTGAGACACCTCAGTGTTTGTGTTGAGAAGTTGATCAGCTGTATTATACTCCCTGACAGTTATCACCTTGTAATTCACCTTGTGCCTCTGGAGCATCTTTCCTTTGTTCTGTATTCAGAGAAGTAGGTAAGCAGGAATTCACTGGGTTTCAAATGCAGCATGAGTAGAGGAATGTAGTTAGAGTCAATGTCAGCTCTGGCACATGGGATCAGAACCCCGTTTTATGTGAGTGCAGCTTCCTTCTGTGCTCAATTAACTCTAAATGAAGATACACTTCCATTTTCCTTATTTTCAGTTGTAATTCTAATTTGTTTTAGGCAAAATCAAATTTTTATCTTAATTTTTTCTTTTGTAATTCAAGCCAATTTACCCATGCCAAGTACCCTAGTAACCTAGTAACAAATAAGTGCAGCATTTCTGTCAATAGCTTGTATCATTAAATATTGTTTTGAGCTATTCCTAAAGGTATAGGAATCTATAGGATTTATATAAATAATATATAAATTATTATATTAATAGGCCTATCATTTTACAGTTACCCTTTCAACATGAAAAGATCTTTCGATGGGTTGAGCATACCTTTCAAGTGCTACCAAAAATTATGGAAGTCTGATACCTTTAAATGGGTACTTTGCAGCTGCAGAGGAAAGTTTAATTTTGACATCATAGCGGGTGCTTCTAAAGTAAGTTTTTCAAAGGGGTTGGTATCAGATACACTGCAAATAAGCTGATGATTGCAACCCTCTGCTGCATATGTGGAGATAATTGAAGATGCGTACATGTATTTTAGGGAGAATTTGACCTAACTCACTCAAGTGTGTTCTTTAAAATATGTCTGCTCTGCTCAACTATTGTATTCTTCTTCAACACAGACAGAAACAAAAGGCAACATGTGTTCTTTAAAGGAAAAACAGCATATTTTGAAATCTTTTATTCTGAAAAGGATTCCAACCTTCTCTTTTTTTAACGTTTCCCAGCTGAGCATAGCTGTGGATTTGTAAAGCATAAGGAATCTTAAGAATGCATCTTAACTTTTCTTCACTGTATAATGTGCAGGAGGACTTGTGGCAAGTTTACAGTGACAGGACTTACATTTTAATTGGATTACTTTTAGCTTTTGATTGGTTAAACTTGCAGATACTCTACTAGCCCATGTTTACTTAATACAGTAAGGCTTTTTTTAAAGAGTTTTCATTAAGAAGGGAGATTGTTCTTCTGTGGCGTATCTGGTTTTTTTGCTATTTTAGTTCTTTTCTGGGATTATTTTCTGTATGGTCTTTTGCTTATGCCTTATACCACCTTAGTGTTGTTTGCAGATTTAAATTCAAGGCATCAGAATAGCTATGTAAAAATTCTAACAGTTCTTTACTTTCCTAATTACCTGAAAATACTCTCTAGAAAGCTTCCATAAAACAAAATAAGAGCCACATGCTTTGTGCCGAAAAGCAGAAATTGGCTTCAGTGTTCCCCTCCTGTTCTTTGTAGTATTGTTGATGATGTGCCACAGAAAGAAGAACAGACTGACTGTTCTCTACTTTAAAAAGCAAACCAAACAAAAGCTTCTTGGCCCACACTAGGAGCCTCATGCAGCCAGAGACATCTGTGACAACTGTGACAAAGGAAGGGAGAAAGAGGAAGAACAGAGGCGGTATCCTGACCCGTCCCAAGTATTGTTGAATACATAACACCTCTGCTTCAGTAACACTTCACTTCTTTTTCTCCTACCTTTCCTTGATGACAAATGTTGAGCTTCAAACTAGAGGCAACCAGACAAAAATACAGAGGTCAGCAAAAATAAATGTCTGATTTCCACTATCTAAGACTGTGCCTTCCATTCCACCAATAAAAAGGTGGGCTGTTCAAGTCAACTGCTTGTTCTATGGAAACAAGTATGGAAACTTGGAAACTGTTCACAACCTCACAGGCACTAAGGCTAAAACTTAAGAGTTAAGTGTAGCACAAATTACGTCCCGGGAATGACATAAATGGAAAAGGAAACAAATGTCCAAATCTCCATCTGTATCTTCTTCTCTGCCTTAGGAAGTTAGGGAATATGTCTTTTCACACAATTTTTTCAGCAAGACTGTCCAGAGAAAGTTCTTTTTTAAGTGGGCTCTTGGGCTGGATGACGTTTTAGATTCATGATGATGCAACTAAAGGATGATACGCATCATGTTTATCTCATCAGTTACCTCCTAAGCAGAATCACAGTTATTGGGGAGGTCAGGAAACTGTTGTCTTACAATCAGAAGTTTCTTTTATCTAACATGTGGACCCCATTTTTTGCAGCACAAGTTATCCATGAAGATGATGTGCAGTGTTGGGACAGAACTAGTAAATTAAATACTTGTAGTCTATGCTAGTTATTCCTTCTTTTGTTTATTTTTGGTCCGCTACTTGGGTATAATTATTGAAGGGTAGAATTTCACTATGTGTATGAGAATTCAATAGGTTGCCTAGGCTTTGATTTAGGAGTATGCAGCATATCTGCACAGCCAGTAGGGCAACAGTTTTGCCTACAAAACATCGCATGGATTAGATCTGTAAAGAGACTTTCCAATGAAACCTGAAATAATGTGAAAACTTTGACCTTTTTTTTTACAAATTTTAATTCAGAACACATTCACTGAAAAGACTTTAACCTTTGAGGAAATGTAGGTCGAGCAAGGCAAGGGAGATTTGCATTTTGTGGTTTCTTGGATTTTGAACCCAATTTTCAGCTGAGCATTTTTTTCCATGAGATTTTCAGGATTGTTCCTGTTGAGAATGCAAAACAAATCCTTATGTTCATGAGTTGGATAACTTTCTACTTAGAAAAGAAATGTGTATTTTTGTGTTTAGTATATTACTAGCAGTTCTTTTCTTAGTCAGACAGGAAGAACTTTAATTCCAGTAGTGATTCCAATGGCCTACTCAAAGAAAGCTAAACAACTCTTCTGCCATGCTGTGTCCTTCCTCCCTTCCTTTTGTTAGGATCTTACCCCCCTTGGAAGCAGGGTCACCCTTCCTCAATATTCCTTTTTGGGAGATGTTTCTTTTAGCTACCCCCTAGGAGTTACTGGCTTAATGAAGCTTTGCGAACCATCTTGAACTTGTCATACTGTACATGGAAATTTTCACTTAAGTTTGCAAGATCACTCCAAGCCCCAAGGCATCCAGAGTTAACAAGACATATCATAACATACACTATATTCTTCAGTGGGTGCCTGTCATGCATCTGGAGGAGAACCACCAGCAGCCCTCTGAGATTCCACTAGTAATTGACAGACAGGGAGGGAAAAGAGAGCAAGAAAGGGAGTGTGAAAAAGAGTGTACAAAATGTCTCCAGCCACAGTAAAATCTCAGGCTAAATTTGCCTGTTGAATCTGAAGGTTTCAGTTAGTTCCCAGAACTGCAGATTTTCAAGCTCTTAGAACTTAGTTTTTTGCTGTCTCATAAGGTGAATTTGCATCTTAGAACTGGACAAGTGTTTGTTTTGGTTAATTTTCTTGCCTTTGTTTTTAATTTCTAAATCAGAAAAATACTCTTCAGTTCTAGCTTAGCTATCACTAAAAGAAAGCTTCTGCAGCTGTTGAAAACTGGCAAATTAAAAAAGGAGCATCTCCTTGAGGAAAGTGTCAAATGGCTGATAGTGTATTATCTTGTGCCACATAAACCTGCAGACCTTGCTAACAAAAAAGAAGAAAGCAAAGAAAAATTTTAAACAACATGAGTTGGAAGAACTTGGATTACAGCTGAGCAAGGAATTTGGGAGGTACATGCTTAATGAAGCATTAATTAATGCTTACAAAACCTG